GTTTGTAGGTGACCAAATACTTATTTTCCACCATTATTTGCAAAAAAATTCTTTAAAAGTCAGACAAAATGATTTTCTCAAATTTTTTTTCACATTTTATCTCTCATAGTTGAGGTCTACCTATGATGTCAATTACAGGCCTCTCTCATCTTTTTAAGTGGGAGAACTTTGCACAATTGGTGACTGACTAAATACTTATTTTCCCCACTRTAAKTKTGTCAAATAAAAATAAAAGCACAGCAACAGATTGACAGCTTGGGCTGAAACATATATTATGCTTATATCTTAACTTAAATGCAATACTTGGAGTGAATATTTCAAGTTTAAAAGTATATAGAACACAGTAGGATTTTTTTTTCTTTTTTGCTGCTGCTTTTTATGACTTTGAAACCTGTTACTACCGCTGTTGTATTTGTCTATAGCTAAGCAGTCAAAGCTAAATATTTTATGGCCTAAAAAGGAACCCTGCATCATCCTTATTTATTTATTTACCGTTGTTTATCCAGGCAAGACAGGCGAAATCGTAGATCTCTATTTCAAGGGCGGCCTGGGCCTGAAGAAAACCTATTGCACATGTTTTTGGGTTGTGGGGGAAACCAGAATACCCAGAGAAAATCCACGCAAGCACAAAAAGAACATGCAAACTCTGCATAGAAAGATTGACCCCTGGACCTTCTTGCTGTGTGAGGTGTCAGTGCTAACCAGAGCTGTTGTGCTGCCAAACCTAATAACAGTCCTAATAAAAAGATGAATGTACTTTTATTAATAAGTGAACTCTACAAAACTCAATGTGAAACACCCACATTTTTATATTACTCATTTTACTTACTAAATTTCTAACAAAAATATCACACTCAAGTTTTCCAATCCATAAAAATTAATTTACAGCATTTAGATTTTTCTGTGATGGTTAAAAATTATTTAATGACAGAGTGCTTTTAATTAATGCCTCCTCAAACCTCACACGCATAAATTCAAGCGGAGCTTAAAATGCATGAAACTGAAACAACTGGTATATAGTGGTGCAGGTATAGTAATTTTACATTGATTGCAGCAGGGTCATCAGCAATTTAATTGCTTATTATTTAATAATGTAATTATTAAATTATTTAATAATGTAAAGGGGTAGGTTACCCCTTTACATTATTAAATAATTGTATTTCTTATAAAATAAGCTTCTAAACTGCAGAACCTGACAATTTTTAAAAATCTGATAACTCGGTTAAACAGGATAATCAATAGATTAATTGAGTACTAAAACAATCTTTAGCTGCAGCCCTAATTGAAAATTAAATTAAAAAATAGTTTTGATCTTAAATACTGTAAATAAAATGTTTGTTTAAAATCAGTTTCGTTTTGTTCTTTCCAAGTGCCTGTAAATATGCTCTCCAAGTCTTCCTATGTTGAAAACAAAGTATTTATAAATAAACAAAACAATGCTATACTATGAATAAATTTAACATCATAAACAATCATAAACAATACATTATATTTCATAGGATATTCAGTAATAGTATTAGTGATTTTGTTTTTAAATAAAAAGAAATCCTTGAATAAACACCATGAAACTGTTGTATTTTTTCTGCAGAAGGTAATTTACACTAAAGAAAATCACTAATCATGTGGAGACCCAAATAGAGAAATAACGCAAAACAGGAAAAGCACAGAAATGTTTTACCATGTTCAACAGGAAACATGCATTAAACTACTGCACTACCAAAACGTCCAACTATACTTACGGGCAATGAAAGGGTCGATGTCTCGGGTTTTGGTGGCCACATCAGAAGCACAGACCTGGCCCACTTGTACCAACAGAGCTGCCACATCGTCATAGAGAGGAGGGAAGGCCTGGCAGAAAGCCACCAGACATGGCAGGGTTGGCATGAAGAAGGAAAAACGCTTGGCACGATTCAGCACTACAAAGCAGAACACACACACACACACACACACACACACACACACACAGAGTAAAATTCAAGAGCTGTGCAAACATTCAGAGCTGTGTCTGTGAAGCTGAGAAATTGTCCACGTGTCTGTAAATAAGAAAGCTGCACTAACAGCTATAGACCAGATGGTGGGGCCCATCAACCAAAAACATATTAAACATTCAACATGTGATTAACTGGATGAACAGATCTAATGACTGAGAAACTAAGATAGACAAAACAAGAARTATACAGAATATAACAGAAAACATCTGCTGACCTGTTAAAAGTGTGCCCATGACACTAATGGCCAACCTGGCCACACTCAGAGATTTTGGTAAGGCGTACTGGGTACACAGGTGTGACAGCAGCTGGATCGCAAAGATCTGTGGGTACAAACAAGAACAAAGAACAAATGTAGCTTTTTATTATACTCAGTCAAGAACACCAAGTAAAGGTGCCTTTAAAGAAAAACAAACACTAAGTAAAGCTCTGGCAGAATCTTGGGGCAAGTTTAGCCAGAAAACAGAGGAAGAACAGTTGGGAGGGCCTCACCTGCTTCTCCAGCTGGGGCTGGGCCAGCAGCTCTGGGATGAAGTCCAAACATATATGAATGGAAGGGATGCCTGCCACAGTAAGAGGCAGCAGAGCCTGAGGATAGCCCTGAGAGAGAGGAAGARAAGAAGGAAATATTAAACTTGTAATTCAACTACAAAGGTAAGGGAGTGCACAGCAAAACAGCTCAAACAGTCCATTACCCTCACAAATACTAGATTTCACACAGGGCCACATGCACACAAAGTGGCTGCTGCTTAACAGCATGGATAAAGGTGGATTAGTGTGACAGGAAGGATCACTTTGATGAAGTCCACCATTTGGCTGCTTGATACTTGTGGGAGCTGCAGTCATTTATTACAGACAATGGAGCTGAATGTGATGCGGGCAACACGACTTCTCTTATTTAAAGAAGGGCAAGTTCTGTTCTGCAGCATTAATTACTTTTATTGCTAAAATTTGGGAATGTTTTGTAAGATRGGTTTACCTGAAAATGAACCAGCTTAGCAATGTTGGGGTCAGCAATGAACATCTGATGCAGCAGGCAGCAGATAAGACATTGCACCTCCCTCAAGTCACTGAGCAGGCCTCCTTCTGGCTCTGCGTCCTCCATATCCACTCTGGCTCTTGGCCCCTGGCTTCCTTGTTTGTTTTTCTCTGGCATGGGCTTCAGGTTTCTCCTTAAAAGGCTTTCTGTGCTGGCCCCCAACTGCTGTTCTTCAGAGGTCGGCAGACATATCTCCAGGAGAATCTGGACGGCTGCGCTGTCCTGCAGTTTAACAGAAACAAGTCTTTTATTCTGTTTTAGGACTACAGTTTTATCAGTTAAAAAAACTTTGTTTTATAACAAGTGTAAAAGCCTGGTTACAACACCTGCGCTGCTAGAAGGGCATTCTTCAGCTCCTCCCTGGTGACCTCAGGTGAGTCTGGCTGAGCAGGTGCCCCCACATTTGTAACAATCAGATTCTGACGGTCAAAGTCAGCTGTCTCCTTCAGGTGGCACTGCAGGTAGGCTTTGGAGGCCATCAGGTAGCCATTCAGCATATGAAGAACGATGTCCATCAGGGGAGGACACCTGTCAAGAAAAACATTTCATTTCATATATTATTTATTTATTTTTACAAAACCAGATTTGGTATACTGTTGAAAAAGCTAATGTAAAGGACGAGCTGAAAGAAGCAGATCATGTTGCAGTGACASCAGATGCATGGAGTAGTGTGGCTCAAGATCACTACATCACAGTCACTGTGATGTAGTCACTATGTAGTGGAGGCAGAGCTGAGAGAGAAAGTCCTCCACACCAGAGTAGTGTATGTCTCCCAGACAGGGTCCGCTGTTGCTGAAGAGATACAGCATCCCAGACGACTTTGAGGTGAAGAACAAAGTGATTGCTATTACTGTTGACAACGCTGCCAACATGGGTGTAGCTGTCAAGAAAATGCATGTAATTAAGATGGGGTGTTTTACTCATACCCTGAACATAGCAGCCCAAAAGCTGTACAGTGTAAAAAGCATTATTGCCAACTGGTCAGGGAGGATACGGGCTCCTGTGCTGTGGCTAAGAAGAAATAGTCTTGCCAAGCCTGTCCTTAAAGAAAAACAAAAACTGCTAGGTAGGTTAAGGAGGTAGGTTACTAATCATGACATGTTCATTGTTCATATCTTTTAATGCGTAAAAGATTTTAAATAATTATCAATTTCTACACTATTAATATTTTTACAACCATGTTACTGGGAAATTTTTTTATTTTTTGTCTCATCAAAAAGGCCTTCACTCGTACTGGATGTGAGGACCAGATGGAACAGCCTCTTCCTCATGGTGGAGAGGTTCATAGAACAATACCCTGCCATTCGGGCTGCTTCGAGGGACCCA